CCAAAAAATTTACAGTCTAAGTAAAAAGACATGAGATAGTATCTAGATACAGATAGCATCAGAAAATAATGATATGCAGTATTCTCAACACAAGAATCTACAAGATTTAAACAGAGCCAAGAAGTGAGAACTTACAGAGATAAATGGGTCAAAATGACACCCAGGTCACAGTCCTAAGTGACAGACAGGATAATAATTGAGAAAGTGAAAGAATGAAAAATTAAGTTCTCTGTTACAACCATAGTGATCATGAACTAAAACCTGAAAACCCAATGATTACACGCATGGAAGGAATGTCAGAATGACTGAGCGAGATACTAGATCTAAAGAGATATAACTGCAAGTTGTAGAAATGGTAGTTAAATTTATGTATAATTGAAGCAACAGAGATGAGATGTAGAAGTATAAGAGGAGAGAGATAGAAGAAGCAGTTAAGAGGTCAGAGGAAAACCAGGAGAGGGCACAGAATCCAAGAACAACACCAAGGAAGACAGGCTATGTAGGGATCAAAGGTGATGGACCAAGAAACATGAAGATGAAGTATTAATTCTGAGCACAGGCTATTAAGAGGTCAATAAGGAAAATACCATAAGTGGGTTCAGTAGAGCACAAAGGAGAACCCAGACTGGACAGGACAAAATTGGAGAAGAACTCCAAAAAGCTTAAAGATGGAAAAAGGAAGGGAGAGAGGCAAATGGGAATTGAAGGTGGATTTAAGACAGGAATAACTAAAGCACATTTAGTTTGTGAAGAGAAAGAACCCAAGGAGAGTACAAGGTCAAGAGAAGGGTTAAAAAAAATCTCAGGGTAAAAGAGACCTAAGGAGATTAGAAGAAATGGAAGTCACTTAACATCAGCTACCATACTGCTAAGGTACACTGCTAGGGTGTAAGCTTTTTATATACTTTCTCTAAATTAGAGGATTAGCACTGAGCTGTCAAACATATAGTAATAAATAGAGATCCAGATTTTCCTTTTGCCATGGAAAAACATGGAAAAATGCAACACCACCCACCACCACCCCCTCCCAGGTGCAGGTGGGGGGAAGCTTGCCTACCTGTCCCCTCCATCCTCCTCTGCCAGCACCCCATGCCACCGCCGCTGACCTTGCCCCCCACCCCCCCGGCCCTGCTTATTGGAGGCAGCAGAGCACTGCCATGATGGTGGGGATGGAGCGGGGAGGCAAGGCCAGCGGCTCTGGCCTCTCCCCCTCCCCCCGCCATCCCCTATGTCTCTGCTGTCATGGCAGCACTCCACACTTTGATAGGTTGTTTCACTAACCAGTGAGAGTGCTCCAAGAATGTTACAGACAGATAGACAGATGAACTAAGCCCTTTATTATATAAGAATATATATAGTGGCATTTAATTTTAATCATAAAAAAAACATGGATTTGGGATTTTCTAATCAAAGAATTTCATATTTTTTATTAGAGAATTTTGGATTTTTTAACAGAGAAAATCAGGATCCCTGGTGTCACGGGGGCACTCGGGTGCCCCATTCCTAAGTAGAAATTAAGGCATATGCTAATGGCCAGGGCAGCTCAGGTGCTAGTTGCCGGGGCAACCGGAGCAGGTCACATGGCCAGAAAGGGGCAGGGCCTGGCCTTTATAAACAGCCCAGGCTGGAGCCTAGTGGGTAGTTACCTTCTGGCTGCCAGAGGAGCAAGAGCTCTGCAGCAGAGTTGAGCTGCATGGAGCAGACTGATAGACCCACCAGCTACATCATGGTCCAGGGTAGAGAGAACCCTGACCGGGAGGCTGGGCAGGAGAAGCCTGTGGGACCGGAGTGTGCGTTATAGCCGGTAGGCTTATTGTTCTGTTACAGCCGGTTGGCTTATGGCTCTGTTTAGTTCGTTGTGTATATCACCGGAGGACCAGGTGAGGCTGTAGGGGTGTGAGGAGGCCTCACGGGAGCTCCCCAGTAGTCTGGGGATTCCTGGGTGCCCTGTTTGGTTGCAAAGCAGTGCCTGGGAGGCACGGCTGTTTGGCACTGGTGTGGTGCGGTATGTGGGGGTTGAGACCCCAGCCCGAGGGCGGTATTCTGCCCAGTCGGGTGAAGGACCCCGAGAAGGGTCAGGGGGCCAGGCACGGCTGCATGCCACCTGAGCCCCAAGTGTGGTTTAGCGTGGGACAGAGCCCAGACAGGGTGATAGTGCAGAAAGCGCGGGGCAGAGCCCTGGGGTGGGCGAGAGCATTGCGGTGAGCCCTGAGCACAGAAAGCGTGTGTATAGGCCCCAGCGAGGGCAAAGAGTGCGGCAAGTGTGAGATAGGCCCGAGTGCGGGTGAGAAGTAGCCCGAGTCGGGCGAAAGACCCCAAGAAGGGTCAAAGGGCCAGGTATGGCTACTGGCCACCTGAGCCCCGGCACGAGAAGCGCGGATTGAGACAGCCCCAGAGAAGGGCGAGGACGCAAGAAGCGCAGGACAAGCCCCAGAGAGGGCACAGCGCAAGAGGCGTGGATTGGGCCAGACAAGGGCGGGCGCGTGACTAGCAGCCTGGAGAAGGGCAAGCATACTGAGGAGGCTCCTGAAGGAGTCAGCCTATGGTGCCGGCCCAAGAGGGCTAGCGAACACAGGGGCGCCAGAGCAAGGGGCGTCGGTTGCGTGACAAGCCCAGGGGCGCCCAAGGAAGGGCATTGGTTGCATGACGAGCCCAGGGTGCCCGGCAAGGTACAACTGACCAGACAACGTCCGGAACAGCTGCGAGGCTTGGGGCATGCTAAAGGGGAGGTAGGAGGCACGCATAGCCCATAAGGCTGGGGTTCAACAGGTTACCCATAGAGAGTAGGAGCCCAGACAATTATAACACCCAGTGCTAGGAGATCAAAGGCAGCCTCCCATATTAAATTATATATGACCAAGACGTGGCAGGAAAGAATCAGAGGGTGCTGGATCTCCTAATTTGGCACAGCAGGGGGCGCTAGCGGGATCACGGCCGCTCCTAGGGCCCACTCTGTGACACCTGGTAATAAAGATGTTTAAAATCTTTGCTGATTTAATTACTTTCTTCTGATTGTGCAGCATGTTCTCATTTGCATACCATTAGATCAGACTGTATTTACAGTGCTGGCAACTACCACCACCTCCCCAACTTGCAAACAGAATTCAGCACAACATATTTTTTTTCTCCTGCAGGTGTCTGAGAAACAGAAATGGCAATGCTAATGGTTAACTATAAGCATAAATGCAATCTGGCTGACTGTGTAAAGAGAAATATAGAGCCATTAACATAGACTATAGGTGCAGATGTTGATGATTTCTCAGCAGTTTCTCAACATTTTTATACAGATAAAGTATTTCTCCTTTGCTGATGTGCTTTTTTGCAATTCTAGAGGAAAACTAAACCACAGCTATCCTAAAATTAATTTTTCCTTATACTACTGATTAGATAAAGATTGATTAGTCTGAGTCAAATAAGGAAGACAGAGACCTATTCTATAGCTGGCTTCAAGCTACCTCCCATGCTTCACCATAAATAAGATAATCTTATGACTGATATATCAATCATGAGATGTACTTGAAAAAAACCCAAGAATTGTAAATTATAAACATTTTATGAATACCTAAATTAGAATTAAGGTAGATCTTATATCCAGGAAAAAATATCTGCTATAACACTTGTGATAATATGGCGAAGCTGATTATAGTTCCATATTTATGACTGAACTTTGCAATTAAAACAGGGAATCACCATCTTTATTTTGTACAAGGAGTAACACACACTTCTTGACAGTTTTAAAATTATACAAAAAAGTCTGAGTCATTCAAGTTGAAATGACTTTATGGAGTTATTTAAGAAATCTATGAGAAATTCCTATCTTGAAAGAAATAAAATGCTGTTAAAGTTTTCTACACAGTTAAAATTCATTGAAATGCATAGTCAGTATTTTCAGAATTAAGTGGTAAAAAAGCCAAACTATTATTGATTGTTGCATCTAACTGTTCAAGTTACATAGACATGTTTAGGTCAACAGCTCAGACCATTTTTAAGTGCCATCAAAGATAAGCAAATATGCAATCTCCACAGAAAATTAGCATATTTTGGTTTTATTTAGTTATAATAGCTCAGTGTTATCTGGAAACTAGATTCATGTCAAGAATTTTCATGGATAGATGACTTAGCCACAACTGTGATCGCTTGAAATGGTTCTGTATTAACTCACCCCCATGCCCTCTTCAGGTGTAACTATTTCTTTCCTTTAAGCTCCCTCCAGTGCTTTATCCTAAGGCTGAGATTATCGAAAGACTGTGAAATGATTTATAAATTCAGGGTCAAGAAGGTATGCACATGGATCTGGTGAAAGGGAAGGGGCTTATGGACTACACTGTGTTATTTGGCTTAGTTTGTTCTTAATTAGGTGGTTCTATACGCATAGTTTCTACTGCTTTCAGAGCTCAAAGTTACTTTGAGGCTTCAGTCCAAATGACCATACTTCCAGGAAATATTTATTTTCAGTTTTATGTTTTTCTTTGAGAATAATGATCCAAAAGTCAATGGGTTTTACTGCTGTAGTTCCTTTATTAGATTCTCTTAGCCAAGCTCCTATACAAACTAGTAATTGACAGAACTAGCAAACATTGCTTTATATTAATCTACTGCATAGTAATTGCCACACGTGTAAATGTTGATGCTTTACTGAACATGAGATTAGTCTAATGTGCAGTCAAGCACACATGTAGACACTCCCACTGAGTAGAGCTTCACTTAAAAAGTCACATTCTAGTCTGTTTCTGATTACAAAGACAACAGCTCCCCCTCTTTTTACAGGAACATAACACCACCAAGACAATTCCAAAAGTGTTTGGTTTTTTTTTAAGGAAAAAAATTAGAAAAGAATTTAATATATTTTAAAATTCAAGTTAGCAATGAGAAATAAGAAGAGTCAAGTCCAGTTAGCTCACTACAGACCACAAATGAAAGTTCTATTATCTACCATAATTTGAAAAGCTCCAGCTTAGTATAGAGGCTATGCAGCAAACGTAGGCTGGCTTATTACTTACCTGAGTTTCTGGTTATACTGCTTGACTTTTTCTAGTGAGGCTGCATTGATCTGGGCTTGAAATTCTTCTACTGATACATTGTCCCTGTAATAATATCCTTCCATGCTCTCCAGTGCTGTGAGAAGGGGAAAAATATCAGGATGAAACATTTAATCTTTTTCATTGTATACAATTAAAACATCCACAGAACACTGCAGTATTTCTTAGGCTATGACCCCAATGTGGTTTGCAAAGCTGCTTTTATAAGCCATCTTTTTTTTTTTTTTTTTTAACAGCTCACTGTTTAAAATTTCATTTAAAAATTATATTTCTTGTCCTCTAGGTCAGTGGTCTCCAAAGTGGGGTGTGTGCACCCCATGGGGTGCGCAAGATGATCCATTGGGGTGCAGGAAGACAATATTAGAACTTCTATTTATATTTATATAAATAGTACATATATTGGGGGTGCATGCTCAAAATTTTTTTAATGATACATGTGCGCGAATATAAATATACATATATTGGGGGTGCGTGCTCAAAACTTTTTTACTGATACAGGTGCACGATCAAAAAAGTTTGGAGACCACTGCTCTAGATAAACTATAAATGAGGTATCCAGTTCTGTTATTCCAATTAAAACATGTTTGCCCTGTGATCATACATACATAGGCAATAATTCAAACTGTTATTTAGTCCTGGAATGTTCCTGGATATTTTCAGTTATTGAATACTGGAAATTAAGGATTCAAAGACCAATTATTCCCACAAAAAGGACAGCTGAAAACTCTTTTTTTATTAGGCTTGATTCTGAGAGATATGGAGCATGTACCTGTCAAGATTAGGTCCCAGTGAAAAACTTTCCTTGAAAATGCTTACAAACCAGATATGCTTTGGTGCTGAGAAAACTTTGTTTTGGTTTTCTGTACTGTATTCTTGTAGCACCATATTTACTCAAATATAAGACAAGGTTTTTCCCCCCAATCAGCATGTGAGAAAAAGCTCCTTGTCCTACATTTATAAGGAAACCTCACTAAATACATCATCTATAATTGAACTGCTGCCAAAAGTAGTATGTGCTCAAAAACAGAAACCAACTATTAAAGTTAACTAAAGCAGCCAACACTGAGCACAATTATAAAACACACAATGCTGAGAACCGTTTTCAGTTTTGTTTTTTAATAGCCCTAAAAAAGTAGGACAATATTTCCTCCACAGAAAGCTAGCATCAGGTCTAGAAGTACTACAATACCACACGCACACCAGAAGGACCAGAGCAATTCCAATACCTTCCCACTAAATTGCTACATTTGATATGTTGATAGAAAGCTACCGCAAAAGAGAAACTTTTTTTTAATAGGTCAGTATAGCCCATCTGAATTATATAGCAGTTTCCATTGCACTCAGTCCCCCTCAATGTCAACTCTTTTCAAGTTATGGTGAGCCACTACATTGAATACATTTCAATTTCCTCTTCACTCCCACAGCTCAGCTGACATTTCTTTCCCATTTCCAATGAGTCCTCTTTTGTTAAGTAGCCTTAAAAGCCTGGAATACATCACCAAATAGGGCCCCAAATAGTTTACCCAGAATCCTTCTGTTCCCACTTTCTCACCATGTCATATATGATTAGTGTGGGCCCATCCTCCATGAGATGGAGCCAGACCAGGTTGTCCTGCACCTCATCTACATATAAATTTTTGGAGGATACCAGGACTCATGACAAGAACATCTGGTTCCAGGCACTAGTAAGGGGCTAATTAGGACATGGATCCTTTGGAGAGGAGGTATTTGTAGTACACACATACTGAGAAGTGTTGAGATGTGGGATAACCATGGCTTGAAACACTGCTGTCTCTACTGGGGCCTAGCCCAATTAACTCTATGATTAATGATAAGGCTTTTGGCTTTAGACTGATGTCATGCAAGGGAATCCAAGGGAAGGCCCAGTCAGGCAAAACAGCAAGATCCAGAGAGTAAGGAAAAGAAAGCCAAACTTGAATTTGAGAGAAGAAAGGAGGTACCTGAAATCCTACCTCCCCCCCACCCCCAAATTTAACTACACAATGCTTAAAATTGCTTCTGTGAATGTGAGAAGTTTGTTAGGGAAAAGGAAATGGGACCAGGTAATACAGACTCATCAAGCAACACATCTGTGGGGGGCCAGCAGGGGAGATCATGTTCAGGGGCAATCAGCATGGGTTCATCAAAGGCAGGTCCTGCCTGACCAGCCTGATTGCCTTTTATGACCAAGTAACTAAATCCTTGGATGATGGTGTC